ACTCTGCTCTGGATGGGGAGAGACCAAGAGTTACACCTTAGAGAGCAGTTCACAAGCTTTGAAAACTCCAGTTGTTATTCACCAAAGTAGGATATAAAACATTATCTTTGTGGACTATATAATGCCAAGTGATCTTGACATCCCCCAAGTCTATGGTTCAGAGCCCTAAGGCCCAGTGACTCATTCCCTCAAGGTGTTTGGTTATGGCTAAGAAGTTTTCATAACTTTGTCCCCTGTATGCTCTACTACATTCATGGATATATTTGCAGCACATAGAAATACATACATTGAAATATCCTCTTTCAAACCTATATATATTTGAGGGTATATTCCCTTTTGTATTCCCACTTCTACACAGTAGACTAATTAAGGGCTCAGGATTTGCAGTTGGAATGCCTGGGTGTGAATCCTGGCTCTAATTCTATGCCTAAGGCATTTGACTGTTAACCAGAAGGTTGGTAGTTCAAACTCACCAGCCACTATGTGGAAGGAAGACTGGGCAATCTACTTCCGTAAAGATTTACTGCCTCGAAAACCCAAAGGGGGTCACTGTGAGTCAAGTAATATACACAAGGGAGCTCTGGTAGCATAGTGCCTAAGGCATTTATTTGACTGTTAACCAGAAGGCTGGCGGTTCAAACCCACCAGCCACTCCTTGGAAGGAAGATCAGGCAATCTACTTCCATAGTGATACTGCCTCGTAAACCCAGGAGGGGTCGCTATGAGTTGAAACCGACTTGACAGCGGTAAGTTTGTTTTGGTTTTTGGTATATTATGTGAAACCTTCTTTTCCATTTCTACATATAATAGGTGAAGGAATCTGAGAACATAAACCATGAGAAACCAGTCTAGAAACAGGCTAGATTTTAGCGTTCTTGGTATTTCTAACTAACCTCAACCTTCACATGATATTGGGGAACTTACACAGCAGGAGGCCTGGCATTATTCTGGTCATTGCTTTAGTCCAGTAGATTTGTCAGGATCTTCCTCATTTTTAGTTCTTCACTTTTTCCTCTGTCCCCCCTCTTACTTTTTAAATGAAAGGACAGAAAAATAATAATTCTTTCCTGTAAGACTTTGTTCAAGATTTGGAATGTAAATATGACCATATTTAAATCTCTCCTTCTTTTCCCCTCTTACTAGAAATTCTTACTGCCGAAGTAGTTAGCCTTGCCCAGACTTACATGGGTGAAGTACCCCTATCTTGATATAGATACCTGTGTCCCATCTCTATTTACAGAGCTTGTAGTTACATTCTAAGCTCTCAGTCTGAAAAAAAAAAAAAAATCTTCCAAATGAGGACTCATTCATATATTAGAACCAGCGGTTTGCTCTGCCTGGCTGAATTCTGCACAACCACCTACAACTGACTGGAAATATCTTCCAACCAGGTCAGTGAATAATGTTGGCTACTGAGGAGGGGGCTCACTGCGGGATTTGGCTATACAAATAAATCAAGGAAGAATGGGGAAAGGGAGAAAGGGGGATCATGAGAACAGGGTTGAGAGGAGTCTGTGTACCACAACTAGAGTCCCTGGTTGGTGCAAACGGTTAACACATTTGGCTGCTAACCAAAAGGTTGGAGGTTTGTGTCCAACCAGAGGGAGCTCTGGTGGTGTAGTGCCTAAGGCATTTGACTGTTAACCAGAAGGCTGGAAGTTCAAACCCATCAGCCACTCCTTGGAAGGAAGGTTGGGTTATCTACTTCTGTAGTGATACTGCCTCAGAAATCCAAGGAGGGGTCGCTCTGAGTCGGGTCTGACTTGACGGCAGTGAGTTTGGTTTTTGGTAGAGGCACCTCAGAAGAAAGGCCTAGTGATAGCCTTCTGAAATATCAGCCATAGAGAATTCTATGACACACATGGGGTGGCCATGAGTTGGAATCAACCTGACAGCAACTGGTGGTTTATGATGTACCACAACTAATGCATGTAGCTGACTCAGTGAAAGGGACAAAAAAGAAAAAGAGCACCTTATGATACTCAGGCTTACAGGAATATTTACATGGGCCACATAGCTCCTAAATCATAAGTTGAGTGTATACTTGAGAATGAATGACTTTTAGATTCTGAAACAAAATCAACAAGAATGCAAAGCATCCCTGTTACTGATCTCATGGGTAATGAATGCTAGCAACTGAGGCCTTCTTGCTTTGTGTTAGAACATCTCAGAAAGAATTCTGTAGAGTATCTAAGGGAAATTAATACGGAGCACTGGAAAAAGCCCTAGTGGGAGCAGAGAGACATGATTTGCATTCTGCTTATGCATTCACTAACAGCCGTGTGAGCCAAGGCAGGTCATTTCTTCTCTCTGGAGTCAGTTATCCCATCTTTCTATTAAGGTGCACTTCTCTGAGGCCCACATTTTGACCAGCAAGGCTCTAGAAGACCAGTAACATGTTCGCCAGTTAGAACAGTTGAGATTGTTAATTTTATGTGTCAACTTGGCTAAGCTATGGTACCAGGAGCTCTGGTAGCATAGTGCCTAAGGCACTTGACTGCTAACCAGAAGGCTAGTGGTTCAAACCCACCAGCCACTCCTCGGAAGGAAGGTTGGGCAATCCTACTTCTGTAGTGATACCGCCTCAGAAACCCAAGGAGGGGTTGCTATGAGTCGGGGCCGACTTGACGGCATATAACAACAACCACCACAACAACTTGGCTAAGCTATGGTGCCAGGTTGTTTGCCAAAACACTAGTCTAATTGCTGTGATAAAGTGGTTACCTGTAATGAAATTATTTGGCCTCCAGTGATTTAATCCATAATGTGTGGGCCTCAATCAATTAGCTGATGACTTTAAGAGCAAAAATGGAGTCTCTCTAGGGTGTGTTCTGTCTCTGGACTATAAATACACATTTTGCCCAACTGCTTTTACTCTTTACTCTTCTATCTTCTAACCCATGAGTTTTGGGATGTAAGCATGGATGAGTCTTCAGTATGTCATCTGTCCTAGTTAAATGTATTACATGCGAATTCTTTGAAGTAAATCTCTAGATAGATAGAAGCCCTGGTAGCACAGTATTTAAGGTGTTCAGCTGCTAAGCATAAGGTTGGTGGTTCGAACTCACCAGCTGTTCTGTGGGAGAAAGATGTGGTAGTCTGCTTTCACAAAGATTTACAACCTTGGAAATTTCATGGGGGTTTATGATGGTGGTTTATGATGTACCACAACATATTAATATTTAATATGGAGGCCGTTCTACTTTGTATCCATGGACAGAGTTGTATCCATGGACAGAGTTGTTATAACTTGGATTCAACTCAACGGCAATGGAATATGTATGTGTGTAGCATAGTGCCTAAGGCACTTGACTGCTAACCAGAAGGCTAACAGTTCAAACCCACCAGCCACTCCTCAGAAGTCTGGCAATCTACTGCCGTAGTGATACTGCCTTGGAAACCCAAGGAGGGGTTGCTGTGAGTTGGGTCCAACTCAACGGCACATAACGATGACGTGTGTGTACATACATATGTGTGCGTATATGACTGCATACATATGTCTATACATACATAACTATATATCTGTGTATATATATATATGTATGTATTATTTGTATATATGTACATATATATATATATATGTACTTACATATACACATCACTGGTTCTATTTCACTAGAGAACACTAGACAGTAGTCTACATTTTATTAGAATTCATTGTTGCTGTTGTTGTTATGTGCCATTGAGTCGTACTTGACTCATAGCGACCCCTCCTTGGGTTTCCAAGGCAGTATCACTATGGAAGTAGATTGCCCCATCTTCCTTCCGAGGAGTGGCTGGTGGGTTTGAACCGCCAGCCTTCTGGTTAGCAGTCAAGTGCCTTAGGCACTATGTTACCAGAGCTCTATTGCATTCTGCAAACATTTACAAATAACTTAAGCATTAAGACCAAGTCTCTTTGAAAGTTTCCTGTATTCAACACTCAGAACCAATCCACCCAAATTCTAGAAATACTGACTTTTTTTACCTTATAGTGAATGACTTAGACAAACAAACAAGCAAAACATATAAGAAAAAGGTCAGGTTGGAAACAGACCAGAGGAACCCTAGATACTATTGCTGAGAAAACCTTCTAATTTGAAATTGAATATACTCATGCAAGCCACCTTCCAGCCAGCAAGAAAACAATGTGAAGAATGTGCTCCTCAGAGCAATCAACTATACAAGACCAACAAGGCACCATTTGCCCAA